AGTTCCACTATCACTACACTCAGCCATCTGCCCTTTATGCCTAGCACCTAGGGTAGGTGTTAGGCATAATTCTATTTTTAAGTTTATTAATTTATTTCCCCTCTAATTCCAGTTAGCTATTTAGTGAACTTGCCCCACCCCACCCCACCCCAGTTCCACTGACACTACACTCAGCCATCCACCCTTTATGCCTAGCACCTAGGGTAGGTAGTTCGTGTTTTCAGCAAGTTTGATGAATGTTTTATCTGAAATTATTTGCTGCACGTGGTATCTGTTAGTGGTTTTTGCATGTTTGAGCTGAAAGTGCTTGCTGCACGTGGTATATGTGTGTGTATCTTTTTGTGGTTTCTGCATGTTTGAGCTAAAAGTGCTTGCTGCTTGTGGTATTTGTGTGTGTATCTTTTTGTGGTTTCTGCACGTTTGAGCTGAAAGTGCTTGCTGCATGTGGTATATGTGTATGTATCTGTTTGTGGTTTCTGCATGTTTGAGCTAAAAGTGCTTGCTGCTTGTGGTATTTGTGTTGGTATCTTTTTGTGGTTTCTGCACGTTTGAGCTGAAAGTGCTTGCTGCACGTGGTATGTGTGTGATTTTAGTGGAAAGTGGTAGGTGTTACTGAATACAAACAACATTAAATGCATCAGATTCAAATACTACCAGATCCAACCTGTAAACCTAAAAGCAATCACCCGGAACCAGTGAAACAGAACTAGTATGTGACGTGCATACATACACTAACCAACAATCTAATGACAAACCGTAAAACACTCATCCACCTCTTTTTAAAACATTTTTAACATAAGATATACAGTGTCTTAATAGTTCATATACATAATATATGTTATTTGCCGCAGGATCAACGTGTACGGTGCCACTATCGACAACGCACTTTGACACCGACAATAAGGAGGTATTATGAACAGATAATTATTGCAACACTTTATAACCAGGAAAATATACACCCATTATCATGTGGACTGCAAAACAATATAGTGTACAATATTGCATACATGTACGTACAAATTGTAAATACATTAAATTAGCATTAGGTAATGAGTAGTGAACCATAGCGATCCACACATGTATTCATACATATATATACATACACACACGCATATAAGTACATACACACACACACACAGAGATATCTTGTGACGTGCATACAATAACCAACAAGCGAAAGGAAAACCCTCTAACACTTCACCACTAATATCCAAAATATTGTGAACATAAGGATTACAAAGTATTAATAGGTTCTATACATAATATATGTAATTTACCATAAGCTCAACACCACTATTGAATGACACCAACCCATACAAAGCCACTCCTCAACATCTATAAAACACTGTAAATCGGACAATAAAGAGGAAATACCCGTCTCTAAGCAGTGCAACATATCACACCCAGGAAATATTACACCCATTTTCATGTGCACTTCAACATAATATAGTTTTCAATATTGCACACATTACCAAAGTGCATAAAATGAGCATTATGTAGTCAAGAACCAGCATGATATCTCTCTCTCTCTGAGATTGCAGTGGAGTCAGAAAGTATGACATTGCAATTACACTGTACACTTTAATAGATACATAAATTATATTTCAAAGAACAAAGAGTGCAGTGTAATAGTGAATACATCTGAAAGGATTATTCTGTCTATTTCAGGAGTTTCATACCTGAATTGTCGTTTGATTTTTGTTTTCTTAGCGTCGAATACATTTCAAGGTACTGTACATTATCAATGGTTCAAAATAATGTGGATGTCATTTTTAAATGAAACATTCTAATTTAAATTTACTTTCTAACCTTTAGGTAAATATGCCAAACTGCGTCATCAACGGGTGCCGGGGCAGACCTGGGGGAAATGGGCATGAAGTAATCACCCTTCATGTCTTTCCCTGTAATAGATATTTAGCCAGAAAATGGCTGGAGCAGACTGCAAAAGTTTGATAATATTGAATTTTTTTTACATATTCTAACTGACCAAAAGCATTTTCGTAAATATCGGATCTGCTTCAGACATTTTGAGGACAGTTCCTTTGAGTTGAGGGGGTCAACGCGTTTTTTAAAACAGGATGCACTTCCTTCAAATTTCGATTTTGAAGCAGGTCTTCTTTGCATAGATGAGGAGGTATTATTACATAGGCATAAAAAAAAACAACAAATGGATGTAAACACATCATTGGCCTGTACCTCTGGAACTCACTTGGAGCATGCAAAGATTATGTGCGATGCTTCAACTTCAACAGATGATTTAAATAGTACCGTTGAAATATCTATCCAGACTGACTGTATACCAGTAGAAGAGGCAATAGAATTTGCCAAATCCACAAATCATGATGCTCTATTTTTTAGAAAACATAAAAATGGACCTGTCATATTGTAGAGGCCTGCCCCTTGTCTTAGAGACTGAAATGTTCAGTCCATCAAAGATAACCTCTACCCCTATTAAATCTAAAGCAAAAGAAATGCAATTAGGAACCATTCCAGAGGAATCAAATGAAGATCCAATGGATCGTTTTAACCAAGATATTGCATAACTACACAATGTATCTATAGATGTTGACAGTAGTGCTGCAATTGAGCAGTCAGAAAAAACAAAGTTACAGAGTACTTTGAATGTCTCCAAAGAGCAAAAGCATGATCCAGACTATGTCATGGATAGTTTTTGCACTATGGATACATCCACTGATTTAGATTCAACCACTGAGGAATTCAATATTGAATTTCAGTGTGTTAACGAACGAAAATTTGTAGTATTTGAATCTTGTCTAGATTCATTATGCTACAAAATCCCATGCCAGAAAAACTTACACTGTACATCTAAGATTGTTTCTCTCGTACAGAGGGTTCGTTATTACAAAATCTATGCCACTTGTGAATCTGGACACAAATTTCTGTTATGACACAGTCAGCCATTAGTCAAATTGGTGCTGGCAATATATTATCAATGGAAATACCTTTTTCCAGCTTTGTCACATCATTGACCCCTGTGGAATGAACTTCCACTCTGCTTGAGTGGAGATGGTCAATGTGACAGTCCAGGATTCAGTGCTAAATATTGCATTTACACTTTCATGGATGTCTTTACAAAAAAAATATTGACTTCGAAATAACACAGGTGTCTCAGACAACGTCATCCGTTGCTATGGAAAAACTAGGTATTCAGACTTGTTTGGATAGACTGAGATCTGAAAACCTTGATGTCCAAATGATCGCTACTGATCGTCATGTTGGCATCCGGAAATTGATGAGAGAAAAGTATAGTGACATTACACATCAATTTGATGTATGGCACTATGCTAAAAATCTCAGAAAGAAACTCTTAACAATTAAAAAAAAAAAAAAAATTGTCACGATCAGGCCAATTAAGAACCACTTTTGATGGTGCATAAAGACATGTGAAGGGGACATAGTGCAATTAAAAGAGTGTTGGAATTCACTTTCTTGTCACATTTCCAATTGTCACAAATGGGAAGGTGCAGAGAAGTACCACGCCTGTTCGCACGAACCATTCTCACAAGAAGTGATTGACAAAGGTTTATGGTTGAAACTACAGTCACAAGCATATGAAAACCTAGTTAAATGTATTAATGATGGGCAGCTTGTGAAGGATTTTGACCACTTAGTCCATTTCTGTCACACAGAATGTCTGGAGACATTCCATAGCCTTGTTTTGAAATACAGGCCAAAAAGGATACATTTTGGAATGGATTCCATGGAGGCTAGAACGATTTTGGCCATTCTTGCGCATAACAGTAACATTAATCGTGAGCAAGCAATTATCAAATTTTCATTCAAAGGCACTGATCCTGTTGCGGAATAGATTGGAATTCCCACGTTCCAGAAAAAGATGGGTTGTTGGGACCTAATAAAAAAAAAAAGGCAGTAGAAGAGCATGTGAGCCATTTCAAGTAATTAACGCGGCACTGTCACGCTGAAAGTACCATTCTCCTATTGTTTCCTCTTCTCTTCCTCTCTCAGAATCAGTTATTCTATTTTTTATTTCTCATGTAGTTTTCTTGACCACATAAAACAAAGTAGGGACTACTTTGTCTTATGTATTTTTCTAATGCTTGACTTTCTCTGATCAAATGAGAAGGTTAAGTCAGCTCCAGTTCTTGTGTCAAAGAAAGTTTGGGCACAATACTCACTCTCCTCCTTGAAACAGGAAATGAAGCATACTTGAGTTCAAACTTTGGTCATAGAAAGTGAAGCTTTGTTAGTCATTACTTTGTCTTTTGTGTTAAAGAAAACTATATCAGAAATAAAGAAAATAATAAATTATTTGGAGAGAGAAAGAGAAGATGAAGTAATAGAAGAATGGTACGTTTGGCATAACAGTGCCAGTTTAAAGAAACACAATAAGGTCAAGAACGCAAACATGTATCCCTTACTTTATAGCGATAAAAACACTATTTAGCCCCCCACAGCACACATCAATATAATAAAAACTCCCCTTATATCCAGATCCACACAGGTCCGCTTGCGCTCTCTCTGCCTACACTCCACCTCCTTGACTCACATGATCACAATTGACGATCTCATCCAATCACAATGTTTTCCCATAGGAAAGCGTTGGATTGGGTGAGATCGTCATTTCTGACGATCTCAACTAAGGAGCTGGAACCTAATGCCGCTCCGCCAATTGCATTTTTTTTTGCGCTCTGGTTTTTTATTTTATTTTAAGTTCGATGGGTATGATGGCTTTTTATTTGGTCTTTGTTGGGGCTGAAAAATGATTTTAGAAAAAAGTTAAATTTTTTTTTTTTTACAGGTTAGTTATTTTATTCCCCCCTCACTATTTTTAGGGTGAGGGGGGTAGGTAGGGGATAGGTTTTATTTAGGGGGGTGGGTGACTAGGGTCTTTGGGACCCCTAGTTACCTTTGAAGAGGGGGATTTTTAATTTAGGCGGGTGGGGGCCCTAAGTTACAATAAGGAGGGGGGCCTACTCTTCTACTGTTCTCCCCCCCGGCCCCCACCCCTGCGCGGCGGGTGGGGGCCCTAAGTTACAATAAGGGCGGGGGGACCTATGGGCCCCCACCCCTGAGTGGTGGGTGGGGGCCCATAGGTCCCCCCGCCCTTATTGTAACTTAGGGCCCCCACCCGCCGCGCAGGGGTGGGGGCCGGGGGGGAGAACAGTAGAAGAGTAGGCCCCCCTCCTTATTGTAACTTAGGGCCCCCACCCACCGCGCAGGGGTGGGGCCCAGGGGGAAGGACAGTAGGTCCCCCCTATTGTAACTTAGGGCCCCCACAAGCCGCGCAAGGGTGGGGGCCAGGACAGTAGGTCCCCCTCTTATCTTTATTTAGGGCCTCCACCCACCGCACAGGGGTGGGGGAGGACAGTAGGTTCCCCCCCTTATCCTTATTTAGGGCCCCACCCACTGCACATGGGTGGGGGCCAGGGGGGACAGTAGGTCCCCCCCTCTCTATTGTGATTTATGGCCCCCCACCCACCGCCCAGGGGTGGGGGCCGGGGGGAAGACAGTAGGTCCCACCCCCCGATTGTCCATTATGGCCCCCCCCACTGCTCAGGGGTGGGGGCCGGGGGGAGGACAATAGGTCCACCCCCCTCATTATCCTTTAGGGTACCTGTACTAGGGCTTTTTTGTTTCTTTTAACAGTGAGTAGCCACATATATCGCGAGTAGGGGCAGAATTTACTAATACTTAGTAAATATGGCCACATTTACTAATACTTTCAGCCTTTTGGTAGATAGCTCCCTGATACCGTGGGAATTAGGGAGTTATCTACTAAGTGGCTGCAAGATGCAGCCGCGGCAATGAATAGGATCGGAGTTTCATTCATTCTAATGAAATTATGATATAAATAAAGTCCCGAATTGTGTTCTAACACGAATGGTGAAACTGTTAGAACTCAATTCAGCAGTTTTGCCGGGGTCCTGTCTAAGTGACAGGAAGCATTGCGGGAACAGGGAGGAAAGGTAAGGATTGTGGGAAAATTGCTGTGACCACCGGAAACAAAGCACACTTTGCTCCTCCGCTGGTCACCACCAGGAAGCCTCCATAAGAGAAATAGTCCCTACTTTTTCTTAAGTTTTAAAGAAAACTAGAGCAGACAGGAAGAAATGAATAACAGATCCTGAGAGAGGGAGAGAAGAGGAATCGATCGGGGAAAGGTAAGTTCGGCATGACAGTGCCGCTTTAAGTGTGCAATCTCATAAGTGATAAGCATTCATTAATTATTGTGTATCTAATTACATGATCATTGAATAAATACAATTCTAAAGGCGATAAAACCTTAAGAAATCTTAAAGTAATAGTTACTGAACATGATACAGTACAATAAAGTAAATAACCATATTTTGTATTTCATAAAATTGATACAATGTGTCATTAATTACACACAATTCAAAAACGTATATATAGCGGTGTATATATACAACATGCATCAATGAAAAATATTTTTTATCATTAATACAAGAAAACATTTTTCATTTCATTATCTTTTAATTTAATTTGTATTTGTATTTTTTTTACTTATATCAACATTCTAATGCTTATTCTGAATCTTTAACCTTATCCTGAATTATTATTACAATACACTTAATTATTAATAACACTTTTTAATGTATTATTTAACTATTTATTATTACCAGGTGATTTCATCTCATAAAATAAAAAAATAAAAAAATCACAAATTTCCATTACTCATTATCATAATATTTACATCAAGAACAGATAAAGTTTATTTCTTAAATAGGACTGTACATGAAAAAGTGAGCTTCCACCAAATTGTCACAAGGAAATATATATTTAAATGTTATCCAGATTTTATCAAAAATAATTACATAGAGTAGATGTAGCAAGGGGTCAAAAGCACAGCAGATCATCAAAAACAAAACAAAAAAATATGAGAAAAAATATATATTAAATTACTTGTATGTAACAATCCAACAACACTGTCAAAGATTTGACTCTAAGTCTAATTCCTCAGCCAACTTTCTACGAAAAGGGAATAAATCCCAATCTCTGTTTAAGCCCCGAGACTATAAAGTGTCTAATGTCTCCCTTAAAAAAGGTGATGCTCTTCCCCAATATTCTTCTTCACCACTCAAACAGATAGAAATGTAGAATATAGTGCAGATTGTATAAAAACTATCAATTTATTAATACAAATGCACACTTACAGGAATTAGGAGAAAATACAGCATGTATCCACAAACAGTGGTATTGAATGGAGCAACTGGATGTCCCAGGTGAAATCCCAAAATCCAATTGAGTGCAGGGGGAAAAAAAGCATGTACCAATCACATAAAAATTCAAATCCAATAAATCAAACTGTACGCGTTTCGTCCTGCTGGACTACTTCAGGGATGTATGTCTCTCTTTCTAGGTCCTCTTCTTAAATACCCCTTACTTTAATGGGCAAAAAAATGGCACTTGTGTTGGAGCGTGTCTCATGCTGGGACGCACGGAATTTGCAGGTTGTGCCAATACGTCATTTCCGGGTCTATAGTTGCCGATCTTCTCCTAATTGTATTCGACGTTGTATGCAACTTGTGGATGCGGCTACCTTCTTCTGCATGGGAGTGTGAGTAATTTAGTCCCTATATACACAAAAGAAAAAGAAGGAACCCTCACGATATAAGCATTATAATATACAAATAGAAAATGGAGTAAGAGCATAAAAACAAACGTTCAACCAATAAAAATTGATGTTATCTTGAAGGTTGTATGTAATTGTCTATTAATATGACTCTATATATCTTGATACTTACATCAAGTTAATCATGTTGGAAAAAATTAACAAAAAGGGATAAAAGCTCTATTGTAGATCACCATCGATGATAATAAGAGGACCAATAAAAATTAAATAAATCTAGAAAAATGATTATAATACAAATAAAACTAATAATGAAAATAAAAAAGGAAAATATATATCAAAAAATATCCCAGATGTATAAAAAAAAAAAAATATATATATATATATAAAACATTGTATACACAAAAAATTGTATATGTGTATATAGATTATACACAGATACAAAAACCATGTTGTTATGCTGTGACTCTTACAAAAAGAAAAATAGCTCTGCCTATATATACTTATCATGGGAAAGAAAAATCATAATGTTAAAAATTATCTGAAATAAGAAAAAAACAATATAAGCGATAAAACATATATATATACATATGTCCCATACATTAATACTACTAAAAAGAAAGAAGAAAAAAAAAAGAAGAAGAAAAAAAAGAGAAGGGCTTATCTATCAACATTCACAGGGGAAGTCTCTGCTTTAATAAGATGGTCCTTCAAAGATCTAACTCCTATAAGTCATCTATGGTAGCGTGTGAAAAAAAGTACTGTGTGTGCCAAAAATAGAAATAAAGTCAATCTTTCATAGACTTTAGTCTGTTGTAACAATTCTTCTCGTGAAATATTTTTGACACTTTGTGTCTCTCTGTAAAGTAAACCAATGGGGTTGAGAACCTATGGACCATATCTTCTAATCTCCGGTCAAAAAAATTATCCTCAGATAATATTCACCTCAATAGTTAGCTCCTAGGCTTTCAAAGACTATTTGGATGAGCACCATCATATCTCTGTCAGGATTACAAGTTGATCTAGCATGCAGTACTGTGTCACACATAGGGCTAAGGATAGCGTATAACCGGACCTTAGAATGGCTGGACTTAACGTATGCAAGAATAGTGAAAATACTAGCTGAGGTGAGGGATACAGAATCAGACACAAAGATGAGGGAAAGCCAAAAGTCAAGGATACCAGATATCAGTGAAGTCAAAACAAAGCCAAAGTCAAATACCAGAAAATCAAGATCAGGAATGCACTCTCAGATAACCATATGCATGAAACCATGGCAGGGCACTGAGCAAGAGGAGAACTGGGCCTAAATACCCCTCCTGTGGATCCGATCGGTTGTAACCGGCCTTTTACCCCAAAGGCAATTACCAGGTGTGCATGATTGCTGCTCAGCTAAACCCTCCTGTGGATTTGATTGGCCATGACCTGCCTTTGACCCCAAAAGTATTTACCAAGTTTGAGTGCATTATTGCTGCTTGGCACAACTTTTCCTGTCAGGACGGTAATGTTGCTCGGCAAAACATTTCCTGTCAGATTTTTATGTGCGGATGAATATATGAAATTACCCCCCACCTGAAGACCGCCCGCCAGGCGGGCAGGACCAGGTTTCAGAGGAAACTTGACGTGAAAAGAACGAATTTTGCGGCCAGCATGGATATCGAAAGCCGAAACCCAAGAACGGTCAGCAGGCCCATACCCACTCCAATCAACCAATAACTGTAAGGAACCACGAGTAAACCTGGAATCAATGATGGAGGAGACTTCATACTCCTCCTGTCCACAAACAACCAAAGGAGGAGGGGTAACAATTGGACTTGTGTACTGATTGCAAACAAGCGGTTTGAGCAAGGACACATGAAACGTATTAGGTATACGTAAGGACGCTGGAAGGGCCAGAGAATGAGAACCAGGGTTGATTCTCTTAACCACACAAAAGGACCAAGGAACCTCGGAGCAAATGTCCTGCTGGGAACCTTCAACCTGATTGCGTGAGGATAACCAAACCTGATCAACCACCTGGTAAACTGGATTGGCACTCCGTCGTTTATCCACATGAAACTTAAAGCGAGAAGCCACAGTTTCAAGAGCGGAGTGAACCTTAGTCCAGGTATCACGAATAGAGGTAAGGTGATTATCCAGAGTAGGGATAGCCGTATCAGAAAACACAGCATGGAGAACAGCAGAATGACGACCCGTATTGACAAAAAACGGACTATGCCCAGATGAGTCATGGGTAGCGTTATTCCTTGCAAATTCAGCCCAGGGCAATAATTCAGCCCAGTTAGACTGTTTACTATTCACGAAGCAACGCAAATACAGCTCAAGTGATTGGTTAGCTCTTTCAGCCGTACCATTAGTTTGGGGATGGTAAGCACAGGAAAATGACAATTCAATGCCCAACTGTTTATTGAATGCCCTCCAGAACCGTGACACAAATTGGAACCCCTGTCAGACACAATATTTTGAGGAATACCATGTAGCCTGACAATATCGCGTATAAATATGTGCACCAGGTCCTGAGACGATGGCAAT